ATGCATAAAACAAAACAGAAACAGTTACGGTGCTCCGCCCATGCAGCCAGGCAGGACGGCAGCGGTGCGCGTCGTGCAAAAGAGAGCACCAACGGGCCTGCATTGGTGTGCATGCAATATATACAATGGGCACATTATGTGTGTGCTTCGTGGGATGAGGTGAGGGCGAGAGTCCATGCAAGGGGACACACAGAGAGAGTGGGTGAAGGACGAGTGTGTGTGCGGGCGGTGCACGGCTCTCTCTCACTCACTCTCACGCGGCCACCACCGCAGCAGCAGCAGCCGCACACGCAACAAGAAGAAGAAGCAAAAGATGGGAGGTGGCGTGCGAGACCGCGGTGCCGCCGTCACTGTCGCCAGTCGTCACCGTTGTGGTTTTCGTGGCTGTGGCTTCGACTGGTGTTTCTTTTGGATTGGCTTCTTTATTTTCATTTTGTTTTTCTTCTGCTGTCCCTGCACCATCAGCTGCTGGATCATTGCTCGGAATGCGCTCTTCAGTGCTCTTTTCAGATTCGTTATTGGCAGCATCACCGTTTGCCGTGGGTGATGGTGGCCTGGATTCTGCATGGTCGCCAGATGGTTCATTCTGTTGATTGGCTGTAATGGAGGCAGCGCTCTTTGTTTGTGAATGGTTGTTTGACTCAATGCCGTCTTGGGGTTGTTGTAACTGTTGCACCTCTCCTGAATCCTCAGCGCCGGAATGTCCATGCAGTGGTGTTGTTGGTATTGTTGCTTGTATTTCTGCCTCTTCGGCTGGTGCTGTTGTTAGTGTTGGTGCCTCATGACTTGTATTTTCTGTATTTAATTCGTTTTTTTTTCACCAGTTATTCCGCCTTCTCTTCACGACTGTCGGATTGGCTAAGAGGATCACTTTCGTCATCTTCCGGTGAATCATCGGAGGATTCATCACTCTTGGAAGTATTCTCCAAGTTGTGTTCTTCACCGCTCTGAGTGCCAGGGCTGCCAGATGAAGAAGAGAAAGAAGATGATTGATCAACGCTTTGGTGTTGGGGCCCAGTTGCCGTACTGTCGTTGCGATCCTCCTTATGATCTGCTTCCTTTCCTCCATTTGCATCCAACCCTTCTGGCTTTTCCTCCTGTCCTCCTGAATCTGAGCCTCCGGGCTTCGGCGGTATTGCTGCTTCTGCTGGACCTGCAACATCTCTTCCTGGACCAGGCGCTGCACTGCCCTCCGTATCATTCTGCAATGGTTCCCCGGTATCCTGAGATGGGCCTGGAACACCCATTTCTTGTTCATCCGCAGCTTCAACCGCCTTTATTAATGCCATTCGAGTGGCTAACAACCCGCAGTCCGCCTTTAGAGACACGCCGTCATCTCCACCATTACTCGTGTGCCTCAAACCGTTCCCTCCACCCTCACTGCAGTAATCGTCCATCGCGTGTCCAAAAACCGCACCGCACCACAGCACGCAGAGGGCACACACCAGCAGCACACGGCTAGTCATCATCATCGCCATCACTCCTGTCACTTGCGTGTAGCCTCCAGCACAAACTAAAAACACGTCAACAGAGAGTAAAAGCAAAAGGGAAAAAATGTTAAAAAACCAAGCAGAGCCACCGTACAGTAACAATTGGCAGCAACAACAGCAGCACACGCATTGAAACAGATGGAACCCGTACGATTGCAGAACTCGAGCACCGCCCTGCATACCACGAGTTTTAAAAAAGATAGAACAGCAAGAAAAAAAACACCCAAGGCACCAGTACGCATACATATGAGCGTGTCTGTGATGCGTTCAACGAGGCGAATGCGAGAACAACGCGGAGCACACAGAAGGGCAGCCGAAGCAAGTGAAGCAAAAACTATCATCATAATTACTCTTACTTTATACATCGGACAACATTAGGCGGGCACATGTCCCCATGGCTGAGTGCTGGCACGCACAGCCCACACACACATCTTCAGCCCAGGGTGGCGTACACCAGCGCGGATGCGGCAAGCAGCAGCGGGGCACACGCCCACGCAGAGCTGCTGAGGCCGCCGTCGATTTCGCGAAGACGTGAAGGTGCGCGGGTCGTCGTTGTGGTTGGCGCCTCTGTATTGATGGTCGTATTACTTGGTGCCTTTGTTGTAGTGTTTGTTTTGTTTGGCATTTTTATCTTCTCTTCTGATGTCTGTGCCTTATGATTCTCATCTCCTTGTGTATTTTCCTGCGCCCTTTTATTTTGTGCATCTGACATACCGGTCGCACCTTGTGTGTGTGTGTGTGGAGACTGAGTTGCCAAACCTGGTGGCTCTGGATTATCGCTAGCCGAACTCAGTGTCTCTGGCGGAACTCGTGTCTGTCCAGTGATGGCTGTGCCTGCTTCCTTTGGCAAGGAAGGTCCTTAATTTCACAAACCCTCCTCACTGTCTCTCCCACTCTCTGTCTGTGGCCCACCGGTCTCCCCACCATATGGCTGTAATGCACCAGGCATATTTCTGTAGGATCTGGTTTCCCTAGCTCAGGGCTGGGAGGACTGCTGTTATCATCATTATCGTCTCCTGTCGCCGTCACGCACACGGACGTGCAGCAGCAGCACGAGAGCGCAAGGACCAACACGGCGCCGCACCGTCACCATCGCAGTCATCATCGCCCGTAGTGGAGTCGCTGGAGTCAGTCAGCCGATCGGTGAGACGGAAAGGAAAAGAATGGAACGAGAGGGAGAGGGACGGAGCACAGCGGATACAGCGAGAGAGCGCAGACAACATGAGGAGAGGGCAGCAGGCCCAGCCGCACAGTTCACACACCACGAGACGGCACCCACGCAAGGAAGGCACACAACGCCAGAACCCACCCACCATGCAGGAGGAGAAGACATCCACCACCATCTCCCCCAGCTCATCTCTACAGCCCCAGGGAAATGGCCAAAACCCCGCGGCCACCACACAACGCACACGGAGCAAGCGAACCCTCATCCATCCATGACGCGGCACAAAAACTTCCTGCCATCCCGCCCTCAATGGGACACGGAGCCCAACTCAGCGCAGTCACACACGGTGCATCACACCCACAGGAAAATGGACTCGGGCAGCGCTCCCTCTCTCCCTCCTCCTCATGGCCACGGAAGAAGACAACAGCCGCCACACGCAACTGCCAGCATGCACTGCAAAAGAAGCATTCAAATCCACTGCAATGTGCAACTTGTGTGTGTGTGTGTGGTTGTGTGTGCCTGCAGAAACACAAAGCAAAGACGTAGAAAAGAGGGAGCAGAGTATGCGGAGAGACGCACAAAATGTACAGCGGAGACGCATAACGGAAACAAGAAGACCGCTCAAGCTCATGACTGCACTGCGGCCCAAGCAGCGGCCATTCACAAAATACTTATTGAAAAAAAAAAAAAAACGTCCCCTTCGTCTTATATAAACCCCATCACACAAAATAATTATAAATAAAAAAGAAATCGTCCATTACTGCTCCATACAAATTTTAAAACAAGAAGAAAAATCGCCTGGCTGCCGTGTGGCCACACCAAACTGTCTGTATGTATTTTGCCCACAAAAGAAATTAAAAAGATGGTTACGTGTGCTTCGACCGTCTGATCCTCCACGTGTCCGCACATCGTTTATATTTCATGGGGTCATCTGCGTGTTGCTGCTCCCCTCAGCCCTCTCATCGGCGCATGAGTGCGGCCCGCAGAGCACAGTCACTCGTGTGTATGTGGGGACTGAGAGAAGCACGCAGACATGACGGGAGTCGCGTCTCTCCATCGGGAGAGTGAGCGCAGCAAAAGAAAAAAGAAATCATCGGAGGGGAGAGAAATACTCACGAGGCCGACACCGAAGGGTGTGCCACCGCACGAAATAAACACGCAAAGCAAAACAAATCCTTAAATAAAAACACGGCGGCAGGGTGTGGCTGTGTGTGTGTGGCGCTGCGGGTGTCTGCCCGCCCTGGCCCCAAAGAAAACAAAACAAGAGGGAAAGAAATGTGTGCTCCGCCCCACAGGCCCTCGTCGAACGCCCACACGTCACGGCTCCCTCAGCGCGCCGTTCGTCGCGGCCCCTCCTCATGCGTGCAGCAGGCGAGGCGCACAGGGCCGTCGTCATGAGCGTGTCGGTGGGTGTGCGAGTGGAGCAGTTGGGCGGGAAACACACGGCACCCCTCACAGGAAGAGTGCGGCAACAAACAATTAAAAGAGGGAAGAGTAGAAAAGAAAAAAACGTCCATAGTGATTGCCCCAAAAGCAAAAAAAAAAAGAGGAATGGGGGAGTGAG